AACTTCATATTGGCATGGATTACAGTGTTTAATCTTGATAATGTTTTGCAATTTTAATGACCAGTTATTGTGTTACTGATGGATAATGTAACTTAGTGTGTTAACTTGGTGTGTTTCGTTATGTTGTACAATGAGCATATTTCTTTAATCGATTTTATAGCAGGAATAATAAAATATTTTTGATCTGGTTCATTTCTATTTATATCTATTTATTCTATCTATTCTATCTCTATTATATCTATTTCTATCTATGTATCAAATTTGTCCAGTCATAAAATTCGTGTCAAGTCGGCTGATAAATTATTTGCCTGTCTTGTTTGTTTGCTACAGAAGAATGAAAGCAATCATTCAGGCTATTCCGCAGAAGGCTCTTGTAGACGATGTGGTCAAGATTGTGGTCAACCACTTGAACCCCAATCAGCAAGTCACCGTTGGAGCACACCTGCAGGAGGACAAAATTAAATTCGGTTCCTATGCACATTTTAAAGCAGATGGGAATGGTTTGGTGGATCTCAGTCTGCATCCCTCTATTGGTGGATCGTACACAGGTGTGATGTATAGCATGTAAATCTGTTATTTGGGCAACATTCTGTCCTATGATAATTTATTATTGCTGATATTCTGTCTAAATGTATTCTATAGATGAAACGTGAATGACGGTTTCCCCCATTCCAGATGTGATGCCAATGGGCCTATTCTGCAGCTTGGTTCCAATGCCTGGGCAGAAGAAGGGTCTCAGGTTGATAAAGAAAGATGTCACAACTCCGCTAACATTCGACCTTAGAGTTTATGATGGGATTCATCATATAGATGACATTGACCATACAACACCTATACTGGCGTTTACTTCCATTGAAAGGTCGTACCTGGCAAAGGGAGTCAGTGTGCAAGAGATAAATCATGGAAATATACGAGGAAGGCTGTTTTTGCCAGAAGGTGAATGTCTGCACCCAATTGCTACATTGATAAGCTTTCACTGTTTTCAGTGTTATCATGCCTTTGCAGTAGGGTGTGGCAGTATTGTGAAATATTGTCAGGTAGTTATCTTGTTTTCAATCACATTATCAGTAATTAAATCTAAGTGATCTAATTAATCAGTGTATGTTCACAGGTACTGGACCATTTCCTGGTGTCATAGACATGTTTGGATCTGTGGGAAACATTGTGACATTCATCAGGGTGTTTGCTTCTGCTTGCCTCCAGGGGATGTTGACGAACACTTTGGCCTTCCATATATTATATTACAAGGGATCTGCCTAAGAATTGGCCGATGGCATTCGCTTAGAATCTTTGATCGTTGGTTTTTACTCTCCTTTGTTTCCTGTATTCTGAGCTCATACCACGCTTAAAGTAAGAATTTTGAACTCGTGGGAAGTGTCTACAGTAAGACAACACTGTCTTAGGAACACCGTAAGCATTCAATATACGTTTACCAAAAATCGTGGAAAGGGATTGTAATTTATTTGTTGACTCTGCGTAGTTGGTTGCATGCGTTGATGGCACTTGTTTACTTGCTAGGCCCTGTCTCACTACACTGTGTGTTAATTGCCAGGCCCGGTCAACTATCACTTTGTTAAATAATAATAGTAACCGGTATGAAAGCCTAGGGACACACTTGCGAATTTCTTATACGCTGCCGCTGTCGATCGATAAATACGAGGCTGGGTGCCGGGTCCGCGCGCGTGTGTTTTTTTTGTGGGGGGCGTGTTGCGTGGGTTGTGCGGGGGCGTTCTCACGGTCGTGTGGGGCCAGCGCTATTTTGGCACGCCGGACCCATCGCGCGGGCTGATATCTGGTGTTTGCTCGGCTATTCAGCATGTTGCAGATTTACGCCTTTTTCCCATCGCTTGCGTGACGGCGACATGCGCTTGCATGCGCTGTGCACAGCTAGCGCACAGCGGCTCGCCAGCAATTATCATCTCCGTGTAGGTCGAACGCGATTTGGGTTTTTAGGCAGCCAATCAAGCGTGTAGTTAGCAACGAAGGAGCTGAGGGGAAAGCCGAGTATGTGGGAAGCGGTTTGACACCGTTACGAGTGTGTCCAGCTGTCCGCGCCAACTGGTACGGCGGTTCTAAGATTGAGTGCCGGCGTCTGGCGTATGTGGGTGTGTTCGTGGGCGGGCCGCCGGGACGGACCGTGTGGGATGCGAACAGATACGCTGTCCGGCATCGTGTTACAGAATCGCTAGTGTGTCCATAGGCTTAAATAATAGTGATGCAGTAATACCCAAAGTCGGACAATGCAGTTCGGTTATCTTTACGGTTACAGAAGCCAGAATGCACGTTGTTGTCAGAAATTGTCGTTGCGTCTGGTAGGTCCTGTGCCGGTGTTTGTGGTATTCATTCACGAGGGCCAATTGTGTGGCATGTGCAACATTGAAAGAATGGTCGATTGCAATATTTTGCCATTTTTATATATGCTTAGAGCGGTTCTTATAAATCCTTAGTAATTTTTAACGAATATAATAGTAGCATAATCAGGAATTTGTGTGAATACATTTTGAGGCGTATTTTTCGATTTCATACTTCCCACTTTGTCCGTCTTTCCTGCACTTACACGCCATTTGCAACCTTGGACAGCTTCTCTATTGCCAGTAGCTACAGTGGCATGGCCCTTGCCGCAGAAGATACACTCATATTGTTGCCTCTATTATTGTAGGGCTGTTGACTGGTTCAGTATCATCCACTGGTATTGAAAAACGGAAGGGAACAATAGGCTTTCTTCTCGGTGGAGAAACTTGGACTGTGCATGGCTGCTTACACAAGAAAACATAACACAAGTTGATCAAGGAGGAATATCAAAACAATTAAATATATTTAGCATAAATACCAGTGTGTGCTTGCGTGCAGCGGGCGAGCTCGTGCCCCTCTCGTGGTGTGCATGTCGTGCATGCGTTGCGGCATTGTGTATACTAATACTTATATGGCCCATATATGATATGTTCATGATATCATGTAATATTGGGCATTTTTTATTGTGTGCATTGGTGTCAATGGGCGGTTGGGGTAGGCATTCTGTCATGGTTAGAGGTGTTAATTATTGTTGTTGTTTCTTTTTGCAGTGAAAGGCCATGAGTTCGCGTTCGCCTGATCTATGGCAATTTTCTAGTTCACAGTTCATTCATACACGTGTTCATGGGGATAAAGCTTTTCTAATAGGAGGATATTGTTAAGTTTTTATTTGTTTATATAACTTTATTCAATTCCTATATATTACATCTACTACAATTCATTACTTTTACACCATTTTACAGCTAAACAAAATGGCTTCTTACTGAAATGTCAATCTTGTAGTATTCTAATCAAGGACGGCATATTCTTAACCTCTCATATTCTTAATAAGGTTAGCATATTACTAAGATAAGAGTAGACCTTCTTAGTAGGCCATGTGGAAATTTTCCAGTTAATGGACATAAAGTTTGTCCAACCACTTAGGCAAGCTGTTGTTATGCAAGTTATCTGCACTTCTAACTGTTACTTGTGTGACTAGTTTATTCTGAACATGTTGCCCAGGCGAACCACCCTACGAGCTCAAGCACCACTCAGAAGCGTGCGCGTATATTTGTGGAATTCGCTGAGGAGACATCCGATGATCATAACCCTAATAGCCTGTGAAGGATAAAATACAGTACAGCTGATTTTTTAACTCTTCATGACGTTAGTTTCTATAGTTAGTTTATAGCCGTTTGAACTTTTGTACAGTGAAGCGGTTGTAGTAACCAACAAGCGTGAAATGGTCCAAGACCTGGTTACAATAACGTATAGCAGTGTCCCATCTAGGGGCAGCGGCCGGCTACTGGGGTGCCGGGGCCGGGGGGCCGGGCCCCCACTTTTTTGGCCAGAAAACAGGTTGTCTATCTGTATTTTTAAATGATCGGAAAGAAATGCGAAGAAAGAAAAAGGGAATAAAGGAGGAGGAGGAAGGGCGGACAATGAGCGAAAGAGAGTGTTTAACCACATTTTCATCTGCTACTGGAAAATTACAAAGTTTGACGGCACAGTCCCTCTCAGCCTTTACTCGCTATGAGCAAAACGACATGCCACAGCGCGTATTTGCCCCACATACCGTGCGGACTGTCGGCGCCTGATCTCGTGTGGTCTTCGAGGCCAGATCCGAGTTCGAATATCCAGTACCCGTACTTGCATGATGCACATTGCCACCGTTACTGGTATAGCTGCACATACGCACGCGTGACGCACGGGCTTAAGTACGCGCATGCAGCACGCAGAGCTAACACCACGCTGATAACGCAAAGCCGGTATACCGGAAACGTACCAGGGCACGTTCAAACGCATCAACCAAAAAAAATAGAGAGATATAAGAAGGAGAAAGAGTAAGAGGACCCGTTAGGTAAGAAAATAGGAAGCATACAAAGACACATGAACAAAGCACTGGGGTGTTAAAAAGATTAGGAAAAGAGAACCAACGAATATCTTTTAATTACTTTTACTTACGCAGTTCGCCTTTCATTCCAGCTCGGCGATAACATAATCATTGGCGTACCTACACAATAATACTGGGCACTAATGCAGCTCTGACGGAATATTTTGTTTGTACAGCGTCGGGTTTCTCTACGTGCCACTTGTTTATTCTTATTGCGTGTCCTGACCTGTCACATAGTCTCTGCTAGCAATTATTGAAAAATCTTATGATGGAAATGGCTGTATTGTTTGGTGATTGCCGTGTTTATTTAAACGTCCAATATATTTATCACGACTGCGATGATTGCTCATTTTCTTGAAGGTATCCTAAACAAAAATCAACTGTTTAACAAATTAAATCCGATATTATTTTTGGAAGTTTTAGGATAAGAGTCGAGAGAACGGTACAACGAGAGCGTTTCTTTCTCTGAATAATTTAAATGAAACTCAGAGCTTCCGCGCTTCGCGAGGGGAGGGGGAAACTCCCCCCCTGCACCCACCCCCTAGGAAGCGCGGTCTTCGCGCCTCTCTTAGAATGTGATTCCGGCACCAGGGGCCGTAATCGGTGCGGGGGATGGGGGGATGCATTCCCTCCGCCTCTTGAAGGAGGGGATGGGCCTGTACAAATATCCCTCCTGAGATTTCAAAAAAAAAGAGAAAAAAAAGAAAAGAAGGAAGAAGAAAGAAAAAAAGAAAGGACGTGATTGTTTCAATTTTAGCATATAATTATATTAGCAATCGTTTGTTTATATCAAGCTCTTTGCAGCCAGAATAAATAATTGTCTGTCTTGACGCAAGAACGTGAGATTTACGATTATTTAATTGAACACAATGTGCCTTGAGGCGGCGGCAGACCATGGCAAATAACTCTTCAAGAAAATGTTTCCAGACTTCACAAATAGCCAAAAGTATGGTTGCAAACATACAAAAACACGTAGAAATTGTGAGAAATCTGCAATTCTTTACCTGTGTTTTAATACATGTATTATTACTATAGTGAACCTAACTGCTTGTACGCTCTCTGAAAAGTAATGAAAATGTTTTTGAATCCCTTTGTAGGGTTGAGTCTAGTAGGGTTGAGATGAGTGTCATCAGACATGAGAGATATGCCGACAGGTAGTGCCTCAGATTGCCAGGAAAGATGGACTTCTGAAATATTTCAAAATTTTCTGGGGGAGAGTGCCCGCCAGGACTCCTTGAGCACTGGCAATGCCCTACAGCACGTGCGCAAACGCTACGGTTGTCCAAGTTTGGATGTGCGGTCATGTATGTATGCCATGTAATAATCTTTAGTGTTACGTGTGTTTGTATGTGTGTGTTGTTGTTTGTTGTGCGCTGTTGTTTTGACGTGTGTGTTGTGCGTTCGCGTCTGCAGGTGCGTGCAACGTGGCGCGATCTGCGCGCGTATCAATGTCCCGTGATCAAGGTACCGTGCTGGGTAAATTATTGTGGCTTTGTGCTACGTGGCAGTATGTGATGGCTATCGCCGATCATCCCCCCCTCACTCTTTCGGTACGGATTTTACCACCTGGGGCCGGATTCATCACGTTGCTGTAAAGTTATTTGCGTACACCGAGTTTCTACGAGTACGTACCGCAAAGTTCGTAGGTGCGATATCATCAACGCAGCCGTAGCACCTGCGTACGCAAATGTTTGATGAATTTTCCAGTGTAAATCCACTACCGCCCGTCGGCTGCTGGCTGTTGAGGGCTCGTGGCTAGCAGTAAACGAATCAGCGGCTGTGCCGACCACTACCATAGGAACCAAACTGACGCGCTCTCTTGTATTTAAACCATATGCGCTCGTTGTAAGCTCTGTCTACGTGAGTGCTGGGGGATAGTGATTAGTGTCACGTCATTTTGCCGTTTGTATGATGTGCGTTCAAACACCTCATGAAAGCAGCCGACACGTACAGCGTCGGCGTGCGTGCGGTGTTGTTACGTACAACGTGCCGTGCGTGCGTCGCCGTGTGCGTGTGCAGCGTACACGTGCGTGCGTCGCGTGCGTGCAATGTGCACGTGTGTGCCGTGCGTGTGCACGTACACGTCGCGTTGCTGTGGTGTGTGCAGGGTACACGTGCGTCGGTGCGTGTGTAGGCCGTAGCACGGTGCGTGCGTGCGTGTTGTACGTACACGTGCCGCGTGCGTGCGTGCGTGTCACGTACAGCGTTGCGTGGTGCGTGTGTACGGTACACGGGCGGGTGCGTGCGTGGCGTGTCACGGTTACAGCGTGCGTGTGTACGTACACGTGCGTTGGTGCGCTCGTAGTGGCACGTACACGTGCGTGCGTGCATGTGCACGTTCGCGTGCGTCGTCGTGCTGCCACGTACATGTACGTGCCTGTGTGCCACGTACACGTGCGTGGTGCACCGTAGCACATGCGTGCGTGCGTCGTGCACGTACGACGCGTTAAATCGACCAACTCGCCTTATAACGAAAACAATGCCAAGCTATGACAAAGAAGCGTCAAAGGCAACCGCCATCTGGTAGTGTAGTATGGGTAATTATTTATTTATTTTTTACGTTGAAGTGAGTAGATTTGTATAATGTTGGCTCAATAATCTAATGCATGCTTGCGGGTATGCCTGGAGAAACGACCTGCGGAAATTTTCGCAGTGCGTTTACCAGCGCACCTCACGTCAGCTCGTGGGTAGAGTTACGCAAAGGTTTACGTAAATTTTAGCTTGATTGAATCGCACCTAAACGTGCCCGCCGGTCGCTTGGCTAGCGCGAAATCGTACCGAAATTTTGATAGAATAGCTGTTGTGTTGATGAATCGCCAACATAAGCAAGCGTCGATTGCGTAACACAAAGATTTAGCGCAAAATATTTTGCGGACGCAAGCTTGATGTAATCTTAGGGCCCCCTGATTTCGCACACTTCAAACGTGCTCATTGCCGCCCCCGCCTCCCCCCCCTGAAATAGAAATCCTAGACTCGCGCCTTGGGTACGTTCGGCAGTACCCTGTGGGGACACTAGATCCATGAGCGTCTAGTTTTATGTATATATTTTATATAGTTCCTTTTATCTCTTTAGTTTAGTTTGCACTTGAGTTCTTTAAGTCTTTTTTAATTAATAAATAGTTGATGTATTCTTATATAATATCCTTAGCAGCTTGGTTTTTAAAGGCCAAAAACTGTTGTCGCAACATGATGTTAAACTAAAGATACAAAGCTAGTCGAAGTGATGTTATAAAGTGTTTTTAAATAGTTATTTCAGCAATGTTATTTTGTTGACTGATGCCAGGTTGAAGAAAATAAAATTTTGGTACGCCCTGAAAAAGAGATCTTCCCATTTCGTATTCTTTATTTCCTCATTACATGTATTCATATTGATTGCCAAATTATATACCTTCCACTATAGTTGAACATGTACATAGCCAGAACATGTACTGAAAAGCGTGATTGATTTCCGTTTTTCTATTCCATTTGAAAATTTGAAATTCGCTTCCGCCCCCCCCCCCCGGGCGCCCTGGCCCGCCCCGTCCCCTCCCCGAAATACTCAGCCGCCTCCGCCGGCGATGGTCGCTTCGTTTCATCTCAATTGGGGGCCCCCCCACTTTGAAAACGCGTGGCGCCGCCCCGTGCATCGTTATTTTATATGGTCTTGCCACATGAGAAGGTGATGTAGTCACCGACTGTATTCAAAAGATGGGGCGGACAAAAAGTAC